GGAAATATGATTCATTCCATCGGCGCCGCCGCAGTCTGTCAAAGTGACGCCGAATGCTTGGAGTTTGGATTTGATTTCTACATCTGGTACTCGTATATCGGCATTTGTTATGACTGGTATTTCAATGACTTCGAGATTTATGGATTTTTCAGGGTCATTAATATTTCGGAGCGTAAGTTCAACTTTCTTCCTACGCCAATATTTCCCGTTCTTTTCACCGAAGGTATGTAGATTTAAAACAGTTTCTCCTTTCACTGGTAACTGTAATTTTCTTGATAAATCTTCTCGAATTGCAGAGATTTGGCTACCGTCGTCAAGAAGACATCTCACAATACAATTCTTATTTGTGCCCTCAGCCATAGCATACACCGTTTGAAGCATAATATTAGATCCAGTTTTGGCAGAAGAATTTTGAACAATTTCTGCCGATGTTTCGGTTTCCTTATTTTTTACACTGGAGACAGCTGATGTGGGATTTACACACACAATTTCATGATGTTTACCGCGGCACTTTTTTCAGGAAAACTGTTTGTTCTTACAGTTGATAGCTAAATGTTTACATCCAAAACACAGAAAACATTTTCCTGTACGTTTCAAAATGTTTCGTTTCTCTTCAGAGTTCACCTCAGTACATTTATATTTCGTATGATCTTCTTTGTCACAAAATATACATTTGTATCTAATTGTTGATAAATCTGAAGCAGTCGGAACTTTCGGTTTATAATTAGGATAAACTTTCGTGCGTTGTTCATTTTGACGAAAGTATGGTTTCTGATTCGTTTTCGTAGAGTTCATTAAACTTGCAGCTTCTCGACAGTTAACTTCCTTTTTTAAGAATTCTATAAGTTCCTTTATATCAAATCCTGCTTCCATATTTCGACTTCGATTAAATTCCAAATTTAATTCCTCTGGAAATTTCTGCAAAATGATAGGACAGAGAATATTTCCATAACTTCCAGAAGTAACGTTTAACGATTCTAAACTTCGAATGTTGACTTCGCATTCATCGTACAGCTTACGTAGTGCTTTAACATTTGAAATGCTTCCCACTGGTTCAAGGGATAATAATTTATTCATATGCGAAGTGATAACAACATCTTGTCTTCCAAAACGTTCTTTCAATATTTCTACTGCGGAATCATAATTCTGGTCACTTAAAGCGAAACCGGAAATGGCAGCTAAAGCATTACCTCCAAGTAAGGATTTTAGGTACGCAAATTTTTCAGTTTTTCTCAATCCACTATGATTATGAATTGTATTTTCGAATTGGTTCCAAAAGTCTAACCATTTACACGAATCTCCGTAATAAGTTCCGATTTGCAGACGTGGTAACTTCATTGTTTTCGTTTCAACTGGAAGTGCTACATTAGCCGTTTCGTTCTGATGAACTGTTCTAGAAGATTCCGAACTCTTCTTCAAAAATCGTTGCATTCTTCCTCTCCATATAACAGTTTTATCCTGGTATTCTTGACTTAAGGTAACTTCATTTTCAATCTCCTCCGAAGTTATTTCGTTTCTATTTCTGAATCTAAAATTTTCAGTTCATTGATTTTCTCAATTAACTGTTCATATAAATCCTCGATTATCTCAATTTTCTCATTTAGCGGAATATTATTTGCTAAATTCGATTCGACTTTGGTTATCAGTTTCGTAGTTAATTGTCTAACAACCGATCGTTTCTTTTTCAAATTTTCAAGAACGCCCTCCATTTTCGAAATATTCAGTCTGTCGATTTTCTGGTTCGTAATAATCCCGGTTTGCAGGCACCATAAACAAAATATGTGTAAATCTCTAATAAATCAGACTGGATCGCAGTTAAAGTAATAAACAGAGGAACGTTCTTCCACACAACATTTATTCACGAACACCAAAGACGAACTGATACATATACATAATTCGATCGCAGTTAAAGTAATAAACAGAGGAGCGTTCTTCCACACAACATTTATTCACGAACACCAAAGACGAACTGATACATATACATAATTGACATCACAGTTTCTTTTTACAAACAAACACTACCGCCATCTATTGGAGATCTATGGATACACAATCCTAAACTTAACATAATTTGTTACAATCAGTAACATAAATTCTTAACACACAAGACCATTGCCCGAGTGGTTAAGACCCCTGAATACTGAAACTTCTCTAGATTCAGTCTTAAGCGAACAGGCTGGCTGTTTAATTTTCGTGGTTGTCCGCATGTTTAACGTGGATGGCAGATAACCCTGTTTGCTTTGCTATATTAAAGTAACCTAACTAACTTTAACAGATGAAAAATATGCTACATTACCAATATATTCACGAAGTTAAATTCTAATTGAACTATTCTGAATCCACGAGGTAACTCCTTCAGTCGATTAAGTTTCTGAACTAAATGACTTCCAGGGCTGAACGCAATCATTTATATTGGGTTGCCCAAAAAATCTCTCTTATCCCTGCATTAGGCGAGCACGCTTTTGTTGTTAACATAACGGAGCTTTTTTCATTCAGCATTCATATTCAACAACATTTATGTCTCATGTCGTCTCCGCCTTCCGGCGTTTTGGAATTTTACATGCTACGTACATTGGCTCGCGGTTGACACTTGTCATCCACGCTCTTCATCTAAGGTTAAATTTTTGAAAACGTGTTTTTCCGAAAGCTTTCTTTGCCGAGACGGCCAAAAATTTTAAAATGTCACCAAGGCTTGTCAGAAGAGTTCTCTTTGTGCCTCAACTTCTAATTGAGCTATTTTCTAAATTTAAAATCGATTCAAAATTGCAAGATCTACAAATTTAGGCAAAGAATTATTATTTAAAAGTAAAATATGTAGCCACAAATTCGATGTTACAAAAATACACGTTAAAGACTATTACATAAATGAGAAAAATAGATAAAATGAAATAAAATAACACATAACATTTTAACAAAAATATAAATGCAATAACAAACTCAAATATTTATAAAAAGATTTTCAACAGTGTTCTGTTTTGCAAAGTATATTGTTTATTTCCCTAGCATTCAGTCTATAACGACTTTAGGTCCACATTTTGCTAAAACGATTCATAAAAGATAAATGTATTAAAATATAATTGTCAGCACTGAGAAAAAATCTCTATAAAAGTATAAATCAAAGTATAAGGCATTTAAAAAAAGAGAGAGAATGTATGCTGACTTTTCTTAACAAATTTTGTTAAAATCTGCTGTTTTCAAAATTACTACAATTCGTTCGAAGATATATATACTATATAGTCCATACTCACTATAGCCTTGTCCTATAATGACCATGAAAGACTCAACCAAACATGTAGTAGATGTGGAATCATTTTAATAGCTGGAAATAAAAATAGACCATTTCGATCAAACTTCATACTACTGAAGAATTTATTGAGAGAGGCACTGTTAATATTAATGTTCCTTCAGTCTTTAGAATGCTGTCCTTGCGTGATTCCATTCTCCTACAGTCGTAAAGAAAACAGAGCCATAACTGGTATTAGTGACCTTAAAGATATTGTCTATTAAGTTTTTCTTATGCATTATGACACCCTCCGGCGGTCGAAACAGAGAACTCTGTGAAGTACTGGCTAGGATTTGTACTTAGTTAGTCTTGGCCACGGATGTACATAATCATTGAATTTGGCGGTTCCACCTGCCTCAGCGGGAGATACCTGATTAACTTCTTGGCTCGACTGAGCTGGGTCGGCATAAGTTAAGGAACAGTTGATTCTGTAGCTCAGTGTGGGACGGCATCGAGTTTGCTAGGTGATGTCCTCCTGTGATCTGCAGCGTGCGTAGTATTGGTAGGTAGCATCTTAGATGGCCAATCATATCTCTAGGTTGGTATCTTACCAACCACTGGCGAAATCTGAGAACCGGGAGTGGTGACCCGGCGGGCCTAAGCGGTAACCGTGGTCATAAATGGACCAAATTGAAAGTCTGCCACCTTGGATTGGAGCCCTGGGGTGGTAGCAAGTGAGACTCAAAAATTCCTTTCGATGAAATTTTGACTGGGATCCTCTCCCTGCCTAATATGGGGGTTTCCAGCTGGGTCTAGTCCGTGTAATGCCATGGTAGGCAAAGCACGAATGCACTAATTAATTATGCATTATGGCATTTATAGTAAAACTTCTACCTCATCAATCAGAGCCACCACTAAAATAAGATACCGTGCATATTCATCAGTGAATCTAATCTCTGGTTGGTTATAGTACTAGTTTTCCCAGTTAAACATTCATTTTACCTTAAATGTCATCAGTCTCTTAAATACTTTGTAAATTCATATAGGTGCAGTAAAAGTTTAATGATCTGATAAGTTCAGGACTTCAATAGTGGCAAATTATTAAACATGCTGGATTAATCGGACTTATTAAGACAATTCGGTAAAACAATTTTGCAAACGTAATTTAACCCGTCGTAAGAATGTAAAACTTTAAACAAAATTCCTTGCAGAATAAATGACTGGAAATGTACTAGAAAAAAATCATGAAATTTCCGTAATTTACTATTTTTAATCAATTTATGTTTTGATATCGATTGTCTTACTAACTGCATGAAGGTTTTTCAGAGCACGAATGTCCGGTATTATCACTAAACAGAATATCTCATGATAACACAGGTGTCACATAAATTTCCTGCTGTGTCTATACGGAGAACTGGAGCAGTCTGTCAAGATAATCTTCACGTAACTTTTGCGTAAGTTTAACTTCGTATGGATACCATTTGTTTGCTTGGAAGTGGCATGTGTTTCGAATAATACATAACGCGTACTTAAGTGGAGGATTTTTCATCACAATAAAGATATCTGAATAAAAAAGATCTCAAGTTAATCAGCAATCACTCACATTTTTCTTGCTTTATTCCGACGAGCCATATACAACACATATTAATTAGAATATTACCTTATTTTTACAATTTTTGGAGATCACCGGTGATATTTGTTTTTCACTTTTCTGCTTAACAACTTAATATCGTGACTAATTCGTCTGTACTTTAATAAAGCCCATTGAACATTTTAGGAACCCAGATTTTCTTCCACCAGTCATAAAGAAGACACAGTGGACGTCAGTGCTTTGATGAATGACTTGAAATGAAGAAATAACAAATTGCTGATTGGATATACTATGATGTCAAAGCTCAAAGTATGGCAGCTGTTCAGGTGGCAGTGAAAAAGAAAAAATAATCAAGATGGCTTCTCTCAAAAAAGCTATTGTATTGCGAATTTACTTCTACAGGTTAATATAATCAACAAATTCGGTTTTTTGCCGTCATTCTGAAATTGCTTTTGTAATAAGAAAATAAAACTATACATTCAACTGACTTCATTTATATCTAGGCAGAGATTTAAATTACATGGAGAATTTAAACAGTCAGATAATCAAAAGTATATTACAAATTTTGTTTACAAAATTTATAACAATGAGTATCTATCGAGACAAAATTTGACAATGGAAGTGATTAAGTTACAGAATTTTCTTTTAATATTATCACAGATTATCCTCTAAATGTTTCAGTTTTTTGAGAAAAATATATTTACATGATTCTAGTTTTCAAACTGCATATTATTCTTCATAAACGATAAACGATGAAATACTTCTTTTATATCGATTTAATTAATAAATTAATTTGAGATGTTTTTAGAATTTTCAAGTAAGCGAGAAAGAAAGCCGATGAAATTTTCAAGTAAGCGAGAAAGAAAGCCGATGAAATTTAATAAAAGTGTATAAAATCTATTTTTATTAATTATACGCATAATAAATTTTGCGTTCGTTAAAAATTATTAATTATTGCTAAGTAAGTAAATTAAAGCACAAAATTTAATGAGGACTTCCCTTCTTTGGTTTTTACTTCATCATTCCATAATTAACGAGTAAGCATTTTTCTTGACAACTTTTCTATAATAATGAACATCCTTTATACTTTTTCCACATAAAATTTCACGTCTACGAAGAATTTAATTTCTGAGTATGGCGAAAGAAATGGGAACTGGTGATGAATTTCTTTATGATATAGTGTAATTAACGTAAAAGATTTAAGATATGTAAATATGTCAGGTAAAATGTGTAACTATAGTTTTGATTTTGTGTATATTATTTCAGAATAGTACACTATAATACATAAATTGCCAGTTATTATTGTAAATATTATCTCTGAAGTACGAATGTATTTATCACTTTAAAGTATATTTGGCGCCTATACGTCAGTTTCCTAAAACTTTCAAGTATATTCGATCCCAACATAAAAGACAGCATGCATTCAAACCATGCGGTGAAAACTGAGTATTGTGGTATACCTTAGGAGTTACTTGGCAAAGTATTATTATGGTGCGTTGGTATTATTATGGTGCCGAATTATGGGTGATGAATTATGGGTGGTTTTAGATGAAATCACAGTTTTTGTTTTCATTCTTGCAATTCTGTATAGTTAGTTATCAAGAAATAATTTCATCTAAATTTTGAATTTAGTGCAATAAAACATTTTGCAACTGGATAACAAATAGTACTACTATTTAAAAACAATTTCAGTTGAAAAACAAATTCCATAACACGGGAAGTAACCCATATTGAGTACTATTTATTTTAATAAATTTTTTGACAAATTATAATTTATAAAATGGACAACATAATTCTTTGGTAAATCAAATTCTATGTTTCAGGGAGCAAAATGTTAGTAACTAATTAAAGTTATTAAAATTGTAGATTTCTGAAAGCCTAAATCGAATCTAAAATGAAAGTTGCATTAAGAACCCCCTTTTTTTTTCTTCTCCTCTTTTTTCATGATTGAAGTCTTTTTTATAATTGAGGACATTTTTGTGATCGAAGTGGATTTATAAGGATCGTACGCAAGTCGCAGTCGCGGGAGGTCCGGCATTCGAAGCGGCCCCCAAAATTAGGCAAATTAATTTTAAAAGTACATAAAATTGTACTTGTTAACAAGTACTTGATTGAGCGATGCATCACATACCATGCAATCAAAATGTGTAAACTGCTTGAAATGACGCAAAAAAGGTTGTAAAGGATATAATAAAGTTGAATTTAGATGCTCTGACTGCTGAAATTGCATAGTGATCTTCGAAAACTAAAGAGACCACAACTTTTAATATTTGGATAAACTAGGAAGTAGTTTCATTTTATGATACCAGACATTTCTTTTAAATTCAATGCACTGTAGACTTAAAAATGTTTATATATGGCGAACACGAAATTTAGTTTACAATTTCAGTTAAATCTTTTAGATTTCGTGAAATAGTTCTCTTTTGGCACGAATTCAACACCGAAAGGTGACCAATGTCTTTGTTATGTGCCATATAATTAATTTGGTTTTAAATAATTAGAAAAGCATGATGATTTCCCCCGTACGTAATGTGTATACAAACAAGTTTTTCTTAGAAAGTGCTTCACGAAGACATTCCTCCCCTCAGGCAGCTAGACCTCGAGTACATAATTAAATAAACCAAACATAATCAAAATTAACTCTGATAGTGAATTGCGTAATACATACATTTAGTAGAACACTTCTTAAATTTTGGGACAATATTACAATAAGAAACTTGAACAAATTTAACAAATTTTGATGTTGCGAATTTTGAATAATATTTTACCCAAAATTCCAAAAGTCCTTTCAGTTCATTTTAATTCATCTTGTTTTATTAGCGTTTACGATGTGGTAAAAATTCAATTTTAGAAAGACTGCATGGTTTTGGGAAGCTTTATATGTGTAGCAACATACATAGTTCTTAAAATTCCACTAAAGTGCAACAAAAAGTTACCAAAGTATTTTATTTACTGTTTATCCCTTGGCTTTGTTAGAGACATTATTGTGATATTTAATTGCAATTATTCATTGCTTTTGAGAGCTCACTGCTGAAAGATCCTGTTCGGGATGAGAGTAAGAGTTTTGAAGTTCTAAATCCTTAAAAGATTTTCGTGCCCCTACTTACGTCTAAGCCAGTTGTTTGCCCATTCCTTCTCTCTCGGTCTTAGTTTAGCTGCACTATACATTATACGGTAAAACTGGCTTGGGGAAGTTTCTGTGGTACCCTTTCCCTGAGTCTCTAAGTAACATTTTGGGGTGCTCTTTTCCTTGATGCATAAAGCAGGTACTTGTTTTGATTAATACCTAATCCAGCTCTGGCACCGTTACAGGATACCGCCTATTGCATCTCCCAGTTCAAGCTGGCAATACTGCCAGAATACACCCGCTTATGTGTGGCATATCGACATCCATGGATAGGTGAGGGTCAGGCAGTTAACATACCTTGAAACATTGGATAATGTTAATGTGTTGTGGAGTTCATTGAAACAAGCAGCCACAGACGCTCATCAAATGTTGGGGAAGATTAAGATAAATCACGGAAACTGCGAGCAGTATATTTGGGGAACAGAATTTGGTTCCAATAAGATGGCACAATGGCAAGCCCAAATATGGCTGTCCTTTTGTGTACCACATTAAATGCACATAAAGTCAGAAATAGTTTTATAGACGACATATCCTCTTAATCATTGGACATAACTACGCCAACGAATACTCAGTCTTGCAGTCCTCAAACGGCTGTTACCTAGTAGCGTAAGAAAAAGGCATTGCGATAAAGTCAAGAGTGAACGTCATTACACACAGTGTCGCGTGTCTGAGAAATCGTGAGAAGATAGCTCCGTTGGCAAACCCTCAGCCTGTAAAATCTAATCACGAAGTCTTTATCAGTAGTATAGAAAAAGGGACAGCAGAGTTTGAAATATGTACCGATGGCACTAAAACTGAGAACGGAACAGCCATTGCCTTCTACATGAAGTTGGGGAATAACTTTAGTTTTCAATGGGCAAAGAGATTGTCATTTAATAAGAATTATTTGCAGTTCTTAAAGCATTGTAGTTGGCTCTCAGTAGAGACTTTAGAACAGTTATATGCAAAGACATCATGTTTAATGTTTAAACTATTAGTGAAGAAGACTAAAAATATATACTCTAGTATACTCTATCAGGGGACTTCTTCTCTGTATCGATTCTCCTCACCCTGCAGTGGATGAAAGCCCACGTAGAGCACGAGGGAAGAGAAAGATTACAGATATGTTGGTAATGGAGGCAACAAAGTACATGTTCCTGGCCAGTGGACAGTCGTGCCAATTCTGAATTTACTGGCTCTACACTGAAATTTCTTACACAGGCTATCTACATAGGTTTTGCCTTAGGGACACAAATCAGTATTAAAGAGGTAAGGTAGGTAACTGAAACATTATTTACATGACTGCGCCCTAACTCAAGACATTCATCTATCAGAACCTTCTTAAAGGAGTCTTCATATCTGGAGAGCTCAACTAGTGAAAAAGGGAAAAGGGCCTAAAAATCTCTCATTGTAACTCTTTATATAAACGCTAATGCAGACAGTGCAGTGCTTTCACATAAAAGCCTACAACTGAGAATAGTCTTTTGCGAAACGTATGCTTAGTCTTACCCAGTGGGCTCCCAAGGGAAAGTTATTGTTGAGCGATTTAATACTGATATAGCGAAATTTGTTTTCTATTATAAAAGAGAACTGGAATATTTTATTATCTTTTTCTAACAAATTTTCGTGATTGTGTACCTTGACGAGATCAGGATGTTCCCTTCCTTAAGGGGAAGTGATCAAAATTCACTAGCAGAAGATTTGTTCCAGCCAGTGAACCACAAGTGAAACACAAGGTATTTATTGGCTGGACAATGTCTCAGTACAAATCATAAAGTGCTCAGACAGAGCTGCTGGAATCCAGTGATTTATTAGAAGACGCACGAGCTACTTTATGCTCATTTGATGCAATCTAGGAAGACTTTGATAGAGTCACAAATTGATTAAAAGAAAAGATAAGAAGAATGTCTCTTCAAATCTTTGATATATTAGTAATACAGAATGTTGATAATGCAGTATTAAAGGGAAGACTAGAAGAGCGAAATATGATTATAATATCATTATAGCTTATATGTTGTGAACTTGTCGGAGATCCAAAGCGATTTCCTTAAAGTCTTTCTCGGAAAAAATCTGATAGATCTGCTAGTAAAAGTAAGAATCACATAATGAACTGAAGATTATATAATCTTACTACATCCTGGTTAGGACGATACTACCTCTGAGAAGGTTAAAAACAAAACTGTGAATTCTATCAATCCTCACTGGTGTTAAAAAAGTGCAAAAAGACAAATAGAAATGTTTTCATAGAGCTTTCCGATTTAGAAAACTTAGAAACCGAGGTGAAGTCGAATGAACTACTTAAAAATGAAATT